CAATAGAAGAATGATATGTCACAGCGTGACCTCATTGAGTAAAGTCGAGTAGATTGTATGTTTTTACATTTTGGATGTATTATTATTTTTTAAGTGTTAAATTCATGTTTTTAAAAAAAGTCGCTGCAGAACTTGACGGTAAATCACGACGGTTGTAGTGTCCGAAGAAGTTTCACACGCTCAAAGCGTAGTGTGACTGCAGCTTTTGTTTGTCGCCCACAGCCTTGTTTTCATTTATGTAAAATTCAACATGGTGTGTACCCTGACTAAGGTTTTAGGTTAAATCTATGGAGTTTTGCAAAATAAGGCATGTTTTTTCATTGTACCTAGGTTGTTAATGTGTGTGACTGAATGTTTGTGAGCAAAAGACAAGGTTTAATTTGGTCTTAAAAGGGTCATATGACATTGCTAAAAAGAACATTATTTGGTGTATTTGGTGTAATGCAATGTGTTTAAAATTTATTATTTTAATACTCTGATCATATAAAGCTCAAAGAAAGCTACAAGATTTCACCGATTTTTTTTCTTACCCACAGAGAGAATAGCACGTGGGTAGTTATATGTTATAGTTGGTCGGCCTACACACTTCCATAAAATATGATCAAATGTAAACTTTAATAGAAGGAAAACTTTGACAACTTTTGAAGATGTAGTCAAAGAAACAGCACATTTCCTGTAAGCACATTAACACAACAGTTCCTGTAATGCTGAGGAACTTGGATAAAAGCATTTATGACCGGAATAATTATATAACAAACCAGATGGTTGTAATGTTTCTGTAAAGCAAAGTATGGTTATGGGATGCACCGCTGTATTTATCGGCCGATTTTTCATAAATTTACAACCATCGGCTATATAAGGAAAAAGGCCAATATAACAAACCGATGGTTTATTTATTAATTAACTGCGTGAAGGCACTGAGCTGTAGAGGCTAATGTCTGTTGCATAATCCTAGAGCTGCTGTTTGCACTTTAATGCAAATTAAATAACAAAAGACAAAAGATCACACACTATTCTTGACTAAATAACTTTTGTAACTTTCATAAGTGTAGCGGACCTCATCTGAATGATGACCAAAACTTTACTGATGTTTTATTAAGTTTATTGCCTCCTTTTTCACTCCAAAAAAATCACCTTAAGAGCTAAACAAAACACAGAACTAGAAGTGCACATTAAACTCTCTCTCTCAGTTGCATTATCATCAACATACAGCGAATTACACAAAACACTTATTACAACTAACAGTAAACAAATATATACAGATCTCATGCCTTTCGGGGGGTGCTTAATAAACTGACAAACTTTAAATCCGAAGAACTGCGTGCTTTTTGATGATGCAGCAATAAAACTGCTAGTATAATTTAATGCAGGTGTTTTTGAACTTTGCTGATTTAAAACATGAACAAAATACTATCTATTTTGATGCCATAATTTCAAATAAGAGAGGAAGTGACAAATATCGGTATCGGAATCAGCCAATAAGTGTTTGTGAAAATCGGTATCGGTATCAAAAAATCCTATCGGTGCATCCCTAATATATATGTGTGTGTGTGTGTGTATATATATATATATATAAATAAAATAAAATAATCTTTGTTTCGACAATGAAAATATAAACAGGAAAAAGACAGATTTTGGCTGGTGATGTGAAATTGTTTTGTTTAAAATATAATTCGAACACTAAACAGTGTGTATTATTAAGACCATAATGAAGTAGCATAAAACCATTAATTCAGTTCCAGCAGTGCAGACATGGAAATGATTGACAGACAAATAAACTAAACTAAGATAAAATAAGATAAGATAATTTTATTCAGAAAGACATGTCATATTTATACAAACAACATCAGCCCCGATGTATTCAGATGTTATGCGTTGCCATTTATGGATAGGAAAGAAATATAATTGTTGGTTAGGTTGGTTATAAGAAAGATGTTCATATGTATTTGTCTAGGTGTGGTTTCAGTTTCGCACCCGAAATAGTATCAGCACAGTGTGAATGTGCAAAAGAGGAAGTAAGTGAAGTACTCCTTTTTGAGAGATAAAAGTACAGAGAGTTGAAATAATATTAACATTAATAAAATTAAATAAAAAATAAATCAAATATAAAATAAATAATCTTTGTTTTGACAATGAAACTATAAATGGGGGGGAAAAGACAAATTTTAACGGGCGATGACAAATTTTGACTGTTCTTTTTAAAATGTCAAAATTTTACACTATACCACCAAGTCTACTGTCAAAACCACAATGAAATAGAATTAATACGTTAGTTTTGTTTCAGCAGTGTAGACATGGAAATGACTGACAGACAAATAAACTAAGATAATATAAAATAAATTAAAATAAAATAAAAATCGTTCCAGCAGTGCAGACATGGAAATGATCAACAGACAAACAAAAAAGTTAGGAGCTAGCAAGGCTAACTAAAAGTATAGCAATGCCAAATGTCTTCTAATTAAAAATGAACGATGCTAAAACATCTTTCTTAGATGATGGCGCCACCATAGATCTAATTAATTTTTTTGTATTAGTTTGGCATAGTTTCTTAGCTCTTTGTCCAAAGTATATTTCAAATACTTAACCAGGGGGAAATCTTCAATCACAGTCTAGAGTGGAGCTTGTCGCTTTCTCTGTCCGATACGATCTGTTCCTCACTCCCCTCAGGCAGGGCAAGTACTTCCCAGCGGCGGCATGAAAGTCTCTGCGGAGAAAGATGTAAAACACAGGATCCAGCAAGCTGTTAAGGCTCAGAAAGCCTCGTCCTAACTGATAGGGCACAAACACTGCCTTCTCCCAAACGCACGGACTGCTGTGTATCAGCAGTCCCACGTACTTCACACAGCCGATGAAATGATAGGGCCCCAGCACCGTGACAAATACAGCTACCAGAAGGGTGAGCAGACCCCTGATACTCCGCTTCTCCTCGGATAAAAGCGAGTTGATTGCCATCAGCGAGCGGACGGTCTCTCTGTGGAGACCAACAATGAAGCTCAGGGGTATGATGAAGGACACAAGCAGAGTAATCAGCCTGTAGGTGATAAAACTGCCCTCTGAGGGATACTTCTCGATACAAAGAGTGTAATTTCCCTGCTTGGGATAGAGCTTTTCGAACGCAATGGCAGGTGGCACCGCAATTAGAATCCAAATGCAGAGTGCTATCCAGCGAGCAAACTTCAAGTTACGGAGATGCTTGAAACTGAGAGGTCTGGCAATGGCCAAGTGACGTTCTAGAGCGATGATACACATGAAGAAGATGCCCGCGTAAATGCTAATGTAAAAAAACAAACCCATGAACTGACAGCTCCGGGGTCCGAAGCGCCAGTAGTGTCCGTTTGCATAGTAGTCTATCCACAAAGGCAAAGTCAGAAGTTGAATTAGATCTGCGATCAGAAGGTTGATGACGTACACGGGTAGAACATTCTCAGACTGGATGAGTCTGTAGAGCCCAAAGAGCGCCAACAGGTTTAAAGGGGTGCCGATGATGAAGAAGATTCCGTACAAGACGGGAAGAAAGATGCCGTCTTGACTGAAGTCGATTCCGCAAGCATTTCCCACAATCGTTGGGGCGCTCAGGCTGGTGAGGGTGCTAACATTGAAGTGGTTCTTCATCTTTTGTCTATGACAGAGTGGTATTGTGTTGTTTATATGATTTTAAATCCTATTCACAAAACAAAACTACTGCCAGTAGCAACGTTTTTATGCAACAGTTTCATTTTTATATGAAGCACCGACTAAATATATGCACCATTATACATGGGAAATAAACATTTACAGAACAAGTAATTCAAATCGCCGTAGGGGAAATTCACTAAGAATGAATTGCAGCATTTTAGTTCCCAATTCACATGTGGAATCATTCAAATCAGGTAACGGCATGGAATATGCCCACAAACGGTGAATTTACATTCATGCATTTGATAGATGCTTTTACCTAAAGATACTACAAAGCCATCCAAGGTATATATTACATTATATTGTATTATATCAGTGGTTTAATTTCATGGGATGCGGGACTATTTCATTAGCACATTTAGTGCCTAGTTAAACTGCACTGCACTTGCTTAATGAAAAAAACATATTTACAAAAGTGGCAAAACTCTTCAGTGAATTCACCCTTTAAAATTCTCATTAGGCTAATAACCTAAATCCAAAGGATAAATATGAATAAATCAGAAATGTACTTACCTAATGTGTTCTGATATGAAACTTGAGTTTCACCAAATAACTGCTGACTGCAGAAACATATCAAGCCACTTAATTTCCTACAGGAACATGACCTCATATGATGCAGGGAAAACATTAAAAAAAAAAAACATAAAAATAAGCATATTTTAGTGTAAATGAGCTCAGCACATGACTAACATTAACTAACGCACAAGAGGAAATGTGTCAGGAGGACATGATGTTACTGCAAGTCTTAGTCAACATTTAACCAACACCCAAATCACTTTTTTTTTTGCCTGTTTGACCAGTAAATATGAACCAACCATTCATATTTACTGGTCAAACAGGCAACAAAAAAAAATGACAATCATTTGTACAACCAAATTTGAGCCATATGCATGAAAAATAAATTAATATATAAATAAATTAAATAATTTAAAAAATATTTCAAGACATAAAGATGCACTTTAATTTTTGTTTTACATTGACTGATGCAGTGATCGCCTTGGACATTACTGACACATAATGTGAATTTAGCATGAAACTTTAAACTTTTTTTAGTCACCCCTGCCATTGTAGAAATGCTCTATATTAAAGGTATTATTTTTGCATCAAAAGAATTTGTTTTACTTAATTAATTTTATTCATATAAAATGAATAATTATAATTAATAATTAAATTAACTGTATTAATTTGATTCATTCAATTTAGACCTGGACCATGTAAAATAAACAACACTTTTATTGAGAAAAAAAAAAAGGATTTGAAAACAAATAAATGGATTTCATTAATCCATCAAATCCAGTAAAGGTAGAGAGTTGTAAAGGAAGCGACATTTTGAAGCACTAGCAAGAACTAAACATGAGAATAATTTTTAGGGTGCACTGGTATTTGATAAAGCTGAGAGAGAATTTTAAAGGCATGTGTTGTGCATTAGGATGAAGACTGTCTGTTCATGTGTCAAAAAAAAATTGGTTAAAGTGATGTCAAAGACATTTACAGTACAGTGCTGGTGTCAGACAGTGAATTGCATCATCTTCATGGAAAGCAGCTTGGCATGAACATGGAGAGTGAAGGGTAGATTAAAGCTTGTAGCATGTAAAACCAGTTGAAAGGTTTTTTAGGAACCTAAAAGCTAGCCCTACCTTAGACGTTCATAGTATTTTTTTTTCTTGCTGTCCATTACTGGTCACACTTGAGAGGAGAGATAATATACTAGAAAAACTATAGGCATGAGGCATTGAAGGAAACCTGCCTACCCTTGGAAACAGCATACATATTTCATACTCGCAGGCCAGGAAGTATAAAACTGCTCAGCTTCTATCTGCTTTTGAAGGTTTTATCAGTCCACAGTTGATCTAGAAGTCTAGGTAACACTCTTCAAGCAGTCTGAAGTGGCATTTCTTAGGGCTGTTGGCGAATCCAGCCTGAGGGATCTCCTCCAGCAGCCTCTGGAACTGAAGCAGATGTTTGGCTCAGCCTTGGGAGTGGATAAATACATTGTTCATTTATTGTACATTTCATATGGTGATTTCATGGGGGGGTCTTTGAATCCACAGGTCCTTTGAAAGAAAGAATGGCATCACCTGGTAAATACATGGGTTCACAAAGTCATGGATTCAATCTCTAGAGAACACACCAACAGATTATAATAAATACAGGGATTTTCAAACTTTTTATGCCAAGGACCCCCAAATAAGGTGATCTCATTAAAAATGCAAAATTATATAATTGGCTTTTATATTTTTACTGTAAAGGGTCAATGTAAATTACTAAAATTGTATTTATAGTATTTAAAAAATGTATTCTTTTTTATTATAATTTATCTTTTTTTACCCACTATTAATGTTATAAGTATAAACCAGAGAAGCATTTTCAATTCAAATCAAATGTATCTTCATTTTTGAATCAAAGTGCTTTTCATAATAAATACTGTTCCAATGCATACATTTAAAGTAAATGTAGAAGAATGCCATTTGCTCACCACAGACTCCTAAGCAATTGTCAGAACTGGCACCGCCGATGTCCGACCTAAAATCAGTTAGCTGTTTGTTATGAGTTCATTCACTTGCAGATCAATAGGCAACAGAAAATAACCCTAAGAGGAGTGAACTTTCAATAAAACTATTGATTTCTTTGCTGAAAAGACTTACAATATGTCAAGGCGCAGCTTCGTCGATGTACACAGCTTGGTTTAAGTGTCAGGACTGGCCAAATGCAGTTTGAGCAAAATAGCAAAGCAATCTTCAATGTTCCCGGGGAGGAACAAACAAGCACAGTGCACGGCATCCTTTTGTTATAATCGTGTTCTTCGCTCAGTCAATAGCAAAGCTTTCAGAGACTTTATAAAAAGCCATTGATGTCCGGAGATAATGCAATATCATAATCCTGTGGATTTTTCTCTCCTCGGCCCGACAGATGCACTCATGCTATTTACATACATCGATGATTTAGTACACAGGTAACTGAATTTTCTCTTTAATTAGCAAATCAATACGGTGATTGCTTTCTGCTGTTGTAGTGAAAGGTCACTGGTGGGTCTTTGTATGCTGAATGATTGAATTTACATGGATTAAAGCAATTTAGCAGAGGTTTAACATTCATCTGTGGCCAGACCTGTTAAATAAACCCATTGCAGGTGATCTTAATGCTGTGACACAATGGCCCCGGTGATTCATGCCCAAACTGTAAGCGCTCTACCTCCGGAGGTCCCATCTGCAGGGGTTGCTTGCATGCAATACATAAGAGGTGAAATTGTAGTTGATGCATGAGCACTCGGTGAACCAATGGGATTTGGCCTAAAGAAAACAGCATGACAAAATGCATTTGCAGAGAATTCTGCCTCCACATTTGTTACAAGGTCGCTTGCAACACGTAAATGAAAACGCTGGCAGAGGAAAGGGCTTGTTCCCAGTGACTTTGACATAGTGATTTTATAGGTATGCTTTGCTGGGACTTCTTACAGTGGTGACCTATTTTATTTGGTTGCTGTTTTGCTAAAAGTGGGGGTGTTATCATAATTGTACTTTAAAAGTCTAGACCGAACATGGAAATATGTTGAATCTTTGAACATTTAACTGAATTATGAATATGCGGTAATGTCAGTCTTCATAATTGAATCATTAGTACATGGCAATCTAAAAACTAGGGCTGCCCCCTAATAGTCGACTAATCGTTAGTCGACCAGAAGAGGCTTGGTCGACCAAAATTTTATTAGTCGCTTAGTCGCATAAAAAGTAAAAATACACAGGGCGAAGTCACGCAGTCTGTGACTAACAGATCGTTAACGGCTAGTCTATGGTAATACAGCACATCAGGCAGGACATCCAAATGCTCGCCTGTCATTCATCGACCTCAAATATGGCTTATCATATGAAATATGTAAGTATTAGCAACGTTACATGGCCGCTCAATCTAATGTTAACTAGAGAAATGTGCGCTGTTTAAGTGTGTGTGCGGAGTGTGGAAGTCGAACAGTAGCGCTTGCTGCAGGACAGATGGAGGCGCCGGTGTGCTCACTTGCTCTTAAAATACTCCGTCATTTTGGTCATACAGATAAGAGTAATACATCTTTCAAATCTGTTATAGAGAGTGTAATGTCTACTTTCAAATGAACCAATTCAAATGGAAGAAAAATATTCTCAAATTATGTAATCCGTATGAAACCTGAATACAGGCGCATCATTACTGCGGAGATGACGAGTCAGTGTCGCTGACTTCATCTCTTAAACCGAGAACAAAGAAAGCACTTGTTTATCAGTGAATTATTAAAATGTTAATGCAGTCTCCTTACAGTTTTGCCCTGACACATTCATAATCACTCGCTTCTGCGGTGCACTGTGGCAAGCTTTTTGTGGCAAGTTGGTCTATTTATTTCTTCTTAAATTTTGTGACTTTTTCTTATTTAGAAAAAACAATTAATAGTCGAAAATAAAACATTTTGACACATTGACAAAAATCAACACTGGAAAACATTAAAGAGTATAGTAAAAAAAACAGGATTTTAACACAACAGGAGGTTTAAGTTAAAGGACTCCAAATTAAAATTATGTCATTATTAACTAAACAAATAATTACTTTCCATCAAAAACAAAAGGAGATGTTTAGGAGAATCACCTTCATTTGAAATGGAAAAGATCAGTTTGGACATTCTGCAAGATAACTCATTTTGTGTTTTACAAAATAAATAAAGTGAAATGAGTTTGGAAACAACATAAAAGGAAAAGGGATAGAAGAAAGTTGTGATGGCCTTTATTCATTGACTGTTCTGGTTATATCATGCTATCTGTTCAGGCTCATTCATCTCACTAGAATTACTCTGAAACCTCATTTTCTTTGTAAATGTCCTTATGAATATTTACAAAACCTTCAGCATGCATTAATGGGTTGTGGAGGACTTTACATATTTGATATTTACAACTTCTCCAAATATTTTTTTAAGGAACTCACAGTGCCGTGTTTGTTTTGTCTCCATGAGGATTTTAATTATAGTGTCCTCTCTGCAAATAAACGGAAAAAAAAGAAATTACTATAAATAAGCATTGATATAAAAGCAATCTACAATTAAATTGCAAGTCATATTTAACATTAAAAACACAAAAATAAAAAAATGTAAACTATAACACTGAATTCAAAGAAAAAAATTTGTCCAACTGATGGAGAAATTATGTTGCACTTTCTAAAAATAGTGTGTTGAAAGTCAAACTCTCTTACTTTAGAGAACAGATTAAATAGAGAAATTCCAGTCCAACTTCTGATTTAGGCCATGTCCACACATACGCGGGTATTTTTATAAAGGGAGTTTTTCCTTCTTCCGTTTTTAAAAAAATCTCAGTCCACATTAAAACGCAAACGCATGCTATGAAGCACTGTCAACAGCATGCCAAACCAACAGGTGGCGATATAATCTCAACCGTAAAGCCATGTTGGCCAGTCAGAAGCCTGAAAAAGTTTCCAGTAGGTGGAGATAACAGCGCAGGTGTTACAAGCCAAAAACTCAAGTTTCGCTGTCTGCACGATAACACTGCAACCGGAGTTTTTTAAAATATTCACCCTGGCAGGCGTTTTCAAAAATGTTCGGTTTCAGTGACCTGGTGCTGCGTTTGCATGTGGACGAACGGCCTTGCATATGGACGAACAGCCAAACCGCGTAGAAAAAGCTGCGGTTTTAAAAATAACCGCGTTCGTGTGGACAGGGCCTTAGGGCAACCAAATCCAACTTCTGCTTTATGGCATTTTTTTCACAATGTCAGCATAATCACTGCCAAATTCTGCTGCAGAAGATAGAAAGAAAGAGAAAAAGGAAGCAGGTATGTAAAAATATTGGTAACATTTTACAATAGGTCTCATTTGTTAGCATTAGTAATGCATTAGATAACACAATCTAACAATGTGCAATGTATTTTTTACATTTATTAATTCTTGTCAGTGTTAGTTAATAAAACATAATAATTTTATGTGTTTACACTGTATAAAAATTAACTTACAGGAATGAACCTAACAGTATGAAATCAGAGAGCTATCCATTATACTGAAATTTAGATATCATACTGTTTTCTGTAATGGTATACCAGGATGTAATATTTTAGAGTCACAATGACGTCACTCCTTGAAGAATTATGCCATTACTCAACACAAGCTGCAAAACATTTGAAAATTCACTACATGTTGTTTAAATTGGATTAAAAGAACAACTAAATGATTTCTGTCTTTAAACTTCAATAACTTCAATATATTACATAAAGAAGGACATATATGCACTGCGTAGTGGATTAACCTTGTGCCTCTTTCGCCTGCTGTGATTACAGCAGCTTTGTCCGCCTTTAGGTGCAGCAAAATGAAAAGATGCTGTCTACTCTGTAGAAATGTACTGTATAGCTCCACCCATTAAACATGTACACTCACAGGAGAAACCTTGACCCATTTGAGTGAGTTATAGACCGTGGGTTTATACTGACAGTGTGACAAATGACAGCAGCAGAACCTTTTTCATTATCCATGTGAATGCAGACTGGAAAATAGAACTACAGCTGATCAGACCGAATTGATTGTAGTTTCCAAAATGATAGACCTTAATCTAATAATGAGTATGAAAGAAAGCATTGTGCGAGGACAGAATACCCTGCGCCAGGGACAAACACAGTCCTGAGATTCTTACATGTCATCTACAAAGAGATTTGCTCATCTTGTACTGAAAATCGACTACAAAAGAGTAACTGAAGTATAGCACTGGAGACGATTATCTTGGCAACTAGTGTGCTTTATGTTACTGTTGGCAGTAAAATAAAGCAGGCATGCGGTCACTTCTAAATAAGCGGTCGTGATATTGTTTAATCAAGGGTTTTATTCCGAGAGTGATGATTTAAAGCAAATTAACAAGAAAAGTCTTTGCAAGTGGTTCATTCTCTCATTAGTTTCGCTTTACACCTTTTCTATAGCAATAAAATCATTTGTTTGCATATGCCATTTTGTTTGACATTTTATTGAATGAAATGTTTCATATATTCATACAAGTGTGACACAAATGTCCGAATATGTGTGTATACTGAACAGTACACATTCCATCCATATAGAAAATCCAAAGCCCTACAGTAAAAAAATCCATTAGTTGTTATAAATCCATTACTGAACAAAATCCTTGAATCCCCCGGATTGTGTCAATTTAGTTCCTTGCAGATTCAAATACAATATGGCTGTCGATTTGTTTTGAGGGATGTCCATATAACGTGTGTGGTGAACGTATGATAAATGTGAATCATGGTCATCCATGAGGCAGAAACACATAAAGGAGAACAAGGCTAGTTGTCAGATTATATAGAGTAAGTTGTCACAGTGTCATTAAATAGCCTTTTCAGTAAATGAAACAGAAAAATAATGTGGAAAAAGTAATATACTGTACAAAAATCAGGTCATTTTAGTCAGGAATTGTAATAAAAAATACGATATAAAACAATGTGAGACAACTTGCCTTAACCTGACATTTACCCCCCTTACACCTTACCAAAAGCCCTTACACCTGTTTTATGTTTTCGTAATATACATTATTATGTTCACTTGTCTACACAACTACAGCAAAATATGACACTGAAATTTAGAAAATCTAGTCTAAAAGACAGAATTCCCAAAAATGACTCAATCATTACATGATGCAGTACAACATTGTGTGGAGATCCTGGCTGCAAAAAGCTTGACTGAATTGTCCTATGAAACAGAAAGTGGGACTTATACTAGCTGATATTGTGTAAGAGCACTCACTGGCCCTATTATTTACTTTCCAATGTTCGCTATTCCAACATACTGAATACTAGCATTTTGAACCTCAGTAGGCTACTTGCTATTTGCCTAACAGCCCCATAATAAGCATGTATCTATTGGCAGACCACTACCATGTGGAAGACTTTTTAATGCCTCGGGTAAAGAAGAATATTATAAAAGGTCTT